TCTCGAGATGAAAACTCGTTACAGACGCACACACAGACACACATACACACACAGACACACATACACACACAGACACACATACACACAGACACACATACACACACAGACAACCCCTCGACAATATGCGTTTTTGCATTGCATAGCTGCAAAAAACGCATAAAAATGCAAGCGGCGTTTTCAGCGATTTTTAGGAGGATTATAAATGAGAAGCTTTTCAGCTGCTCATTAATACACATTTTGATTTAAAAGACGTCTTCAAAAAAAAAGTAACACTTTTCACAGTACTTGCTTTAAAAAACATTAGGACGAAAATTTACCAGCGAAATATGAGAAACCAAGTTTCGCTCGTATCACCGCTTTGGAATTTTACAGGACGTTCATAATTAAAAATAAATCTACATATAATTTTTTCCAGTGACTACTTACTTGAAATGCAAATCCTTGTAAGTAAAATGTGTCTCGACAATTCCCGTAGTTTTTACACGCGTTCTCAAGACATCATCTTGTGTTGGCACATACCCAGACTGCGATATCCTGATAAAAAAAAAAAGAAAATTCATTTCAGAACGACTTCACAATCATGTACGATAAATTGTGAAGGAAAAAATACGAAGAAAAGGTAATTCCAATTTTCGGAGCACTCCCAGTGAAATTTTATCAGCAGCTAAAAGAAGCTGAGCACAAGGCCTAACCGGCTGATCTGAGTTTTCAGTTAAAGGATCTAGAAAGTCTTCTTTCTGCGATGTTCGCTCAAAAACATAAGAGAATTCTGCTGCTCCCAAACAAACAGTGTAACTAATAAAAAGCGACATTCTAAACATAGGCACATAGGCACTTTACTGTTTGAAATAACACTTTTCATCAGCAGAAGCAAAACTTGGGAGGTCTGAATGAACGGTAGCAACACATGCCTGTCGAGATAATTGAGATAATATGGAGCAGAATCATTTAGCTGATATTCTCGCGAGCGCATGAAGCATTCCTGCACGCCAGGATCGGCCCACAAACGTTTCATACAAACGGCTAATTCGGGCGGTAATTCACCCTCGTCGCAACTTTGTGCCAGCATGAAAAATTGACGGGCATCATCACTTCGGCCAGACACTGAGAAGTCGATCTGTAATGCATGCATTGGAATCGCGATGAAAGCAATTTTAATATTTTAAGCATGCTGAAGTTAGCCAGCCATGCTGGGCAGCGCTCTTCCTCCCTTCTCCTTCCTCGCCCTTCAATCCACTTGCTTACTGATTGAAACATCCAATTTGGCGACCGGTTTTTGAAAAAAAAAAAAAAAAAAACATAATCGTTTTTTCTGTTTTGAGTTAACTCCCTCTTCTTTCATTCCTCTCTCACTTTGTTTGTTCTTTCTCTGTTTTCTCTTTTTTTACGCATATTCGTCTTGCAAATCAGTTACATAGCTATGGCGGGTAGGAGACTGTACTGGCAAATGCTACACCTACTCGCATACAAAGTTCGGCCTGTGTTTACAGCTAAGGGATGAACACACAGAGACTGCATCGTAAAATGTCTTCTTACACATGCTAATTAAGTCCATTCCTTCTATTCTACTATTTCAACATAGACCCACTTCAGAGCCGTTATCGCACACGACCTTCATCCAAATTCACTGATTCTTCACCACACACACACACACACACGAACACAACACAACGCAGTTAAACTGAAAAGTTTCAAAATCCCTGGATGTCAGACGGGTGTGTGCCTGAGCGCTGTAGCTGTAAAGAAAATGACTCCTGTGGTTCTTAGTACTCCTTGTGCAAATTTTCGTAAAAAAGCAGAATTCGGCGAGGCAAATTTTCGATGAATAAAAGGAAATTACTTATACCCGCTAATCCCACAATCATAGCCC